GGAACATGTGCCAACCACACCCTTGCTCCGCTCTGCAGCAGACCTTTCTCAAAGAGCCCTTCCATTTGCTCTTTTAAACCCATTCTAGCTTTCACCCTCATGGCTTGCTCCATGGCAGCTGCTTTGTTGGTGTCGCCTCATGTTGCTCAGTCCAGTGGTCATTTTCAATCCTCCTCGCCCCTGGCCCGTTGGTGGTGCTGGACACAGCTGTCCCTTCTCTCCTGCTCAGGGCACCTGACACCCGGCTCCTCTCTGCCTGGTTTGCCTCCCCTCGCTGCTTATTGGTCTCTGCTGTGACATCTCTTCTCACTCCAGCCTCTTCCTGCTTGCATGCCGCAGAAGTCAGCCTGGGTCCTCCTGCCTCTCTCCACTTATTTCTTGGGTGATACCAACCAGTTTATGGATTGAAATACCACAGATTTGCTCATAACTCCCAAAGTTATTCTTCCTGCCCAGATCTCTCCCTTCCAAACTTCACACTTGTATGTCAGCTGCCCATCAGACATTTCTGTTGTGGTATCTGAGACATCTTAAACATGATATTGTAGAACTGAGGTGATCTGCAGCCTCCGCCAGACTGCTCCACCGTCGCCAGCCCAGCTGATGGCAAGGCTATCCTTCCTCTTGTTGAGGCCCCAAATGCTGGGACCACATTCTCTTCTTCTCGGTCTTGGTCTCTGTCTCTGTCTCTATCTCACATACATACCCCAAGTGTAGCTTATTAGGAAATTCTGTCTGCCCTCCCTTCGTAAACCACCAGCACCTGCTCCTTGCTCACCACCTTCCTGGGAGCCCATCAGCTCTTTCCTGGATTATGCCAAGAGTTCTCGGTCTCTCTGCCTCCGTCCTTGCTTCCCTACAGTCTGTCGTCAACCCAGAGCAACGGTGAGCTCTTAAAAATGTAAGTTGGATTGATTATGTCACTCTTCCACTCAAGAGTCACAAATGGGCCCCCATTTCACTTGGAGCCAAAGCCCTCACAATGGCCTCCGGGTCCTGCAGACTCTGCCCCGTTCTCCCAACCACTATCCCCTCCCACCCTGCACCAGCCGCACTGGGCCACTTACTGCTCCTAAACACACAGGACAACTCTCGCCTCAGGGCCTCTTGCTCTGACTGTTTCTTCTTCCACTTCCTCCTGTATCAGTTCTGCTGACTCCCTCATCTCCTTCAAGTCTGTGCTTGAATGTCAGCTTTTCAGTGACATCCCCCAGGATCACCTTACTTCCCCTGCTTGCTGATTTCCTGATCTCACTTAACATTGCTCTTTTTATTTTTCCGTAGCAATTACCCACCTTTACCAAATACTGTTTCCTCCTGCTAAACTCTAACTTCCTGACAATGGGGATTCGTGTCTGTTTTGTGGACTGGTAGAGCCCAGGTGTCTGGACCAGGGTCTAGTTACTAGACCCAGTACGTGGTAGGTGCTAAATACGTACTTGTTGAATGAATGAATGGGCCCTGACTCAGTCTGCTGGAGCCCTTCTCTGCACTACTAAAGGGATATATCTCCTTTCTTCTTGAGAGGGGATGATGAGTTCCTTGGAAATCATAGGCAAGGTCTTTTAGTTTTATTTTGTTTTTCCATATGTGGTGGGGCTGGGCCATCTTTTTGAAGGCACATGGAGAGGTCGGTACCATGGCACTGCAGTCTTAGTCGCTGCCTGAGGGACCTCTACAGTGACTGGGGAGCTAGATGCCTGCACCTTGGTGGCCTGCAGTTTGCTGACATTGATGCGACTTCCAGCCGGGGTCCTGGCAGAAGCCACAGGGACAAAGCACAACTTTGTCAGTGCTTTGGATGATGCACACTTTTGTCCTGCCTTTCCTGGAACTTTCTGTTCAAGAAGAGCAGTTGTGATGGTGGCTTCTGTTGTTATGGTGGCTTCTGTTGTTATGGTGGCTTCTGTTGTGATGGTGGCTTCTGTTGTGATGTTTCTTGCACTGCCTGTGGCTAGCATCCTCCCAGCTGGGCCACAGCCGGGTCCTCCTCGTCCAGGGCCCAGAGTCTGGGCACCACCGCTCTGCTTGGCTTCTCAATGGTGCAACACCAACTTGTTTGCATGCCCAGTGCAGCTGTTACTTTTTGGGAGCCCTGGAGGCAGAGCCGTGTGCTCTGCCATGGTGCTCCACTGTGGTGTTCCAGCGCCCAGCCGGGTCCCCGCACACAGCGGGCTGAACGAATGCTCCTGGCCTTGTGCGTGGTGCTGCCTAGAGCTGAGCCTCATCAGACGCTGAGCATCAGGCTTCCCCTGGTGTGCCACACTCCCGCCTGTGCAAGCCGTCCAGGAGGCGCATGCATTTCTGCTGTGCCCCGGCTATTTGCGACAGTTTCACTCTGTTAGAAGTGCCACTTGCTCATCTCTGCTGACCAGTCTGTGTCCTTAATGTTGATCCACTCTGCAGTTTGTCTTCAGTCCACTGTTCTTTTGGTATGCTGCTTGTTAATGATCTTCCTTGCATCAAAGTTAACATTTTAAATACCTGCATTTTAAAGCCTTACAAATGCAGAGCTAGAGCTCAGGGGCTGAGTCTTGCATTTTGGATGAGATCTTTGCTTTTTTGTGCATTTGTCTCTGCACCTGCAAATGGGATAGTCATGGACCCTGCCTCAGTTTTTCTTCCTTATTTGACCTTTCACTTGCTCTTTGCTTGGCTTCTGATAGGCTGCAGTGGTAATATCTTCCTCTTTATTTGAAGTCACACGTATTTGGTTTTCTGTTTTTGATCTTTGGATATGCGACCTCCTGCCACACCACGTGCCCAGCCTCTGTCCTTTCTCCCTGCTCTGCAGGACTGGATATTCTTCACTATTCATTTTGAGAGTTCCCCAGGGCCTTCATGGACCCCCTTCATCCTCCACTCACTCTTTTTGTCCAGTCAGAGCTGCAGGACATGAAGACCTTGGTGTGGTATGGGTTCCAGGTCACAGCATCCACTGCCATATTGTGGGCATCGTAGGTGTCGAGGAATTGGCTGGAGTAGGATTTAGAGCACTGGGGCGGGTGTGGGGGTGGGGACAGGATCAAGGGTCAGGGGTGAGATCAGCAGCCATCACTTCCCTGAGGGCTCTGGGGGATCAGAACCTCAGACTCCTCTTCTGTCCTTACCCCACATCATTGTTACAGCTGAGCCAAGCTGCTGGCTGCTCTTCCCACCCTCAACACACCGAGAGAGAAGAGAGGCTTAAGGGACTGGGTGTTCAGAAGGGCAGCGGGCCTTCCTGGAGGGTGAGGGAAAGTGCCATAGTCTGCCAGCAGCCCAGACATTATCCTTGCAATAGTGATAAACATCCCACCTTCTCCAGGTAAGAGCAGGTGCAGCGCCAGGAACAGACTGGGACCTCCAGATTTCCCATTCAGTTTCTTGTCCTGACTAGCATGCCCCTCTCTCCTTCCCTGCAGGAGACAATGTGACTGCCTCATGTCTCCTTCCCTCTGGCCTCTCCTGGGCTGCCGTCAGCAGGTGTGGAGAGGGGTGGGGACCTCTTTTGCATTCAGACCAGCTCTGACTGGGCCTCAGAAGCTCCCGGGAGGCTGCCGGTAATTAACATGTTGAGTTTCTGAGCCTGAGAAAAGCTGTGGCAGAGCTATTTCTGGATGGATGGAGGTTCAGAAGGATGTTCACCTACTAACACTGAGACCTTGCAGAAACTGGCCATGAAGTACACTTAGTATTCAGCAAGAAATCTGCTTATTATCTGGCCTTCAAAGCTCAGCTCAAGTTCAAATCTCCTCCAGGAAGTCTTCACAGAATTTTTCCAGCTCCTCTACTCCACTCCCACCTCTACCTCCGCTCCCGGGAAGGGAGGGAGGGAGGGACCAGAGGGAAAGATGCTGGGATCTGCTTATTATCTGGCCTTCAAAGCTCAGCTCAAGTTCAAATCTCCTCCAGGAAGTCTTCCCAGAATTTTTCCAGCTCCTCTACTCCACCCCCACCTCTACCTCCGCTCCCGGGAAGGGAGGGAGGGAGGGACCAGAGGGAAAGATGCTGGGCTAGGCTAAAATCACCCTCTAGATTCTCCATCCCCTTTCCTGTATTGACCCATCTCCCTGTCTCCCCCATTCCCTCCCCCAACCCCAGCCACTTCCAGCCACCCTAGCAGGTCAAGAAATGCATTCTCTTCCTCCAAGAAGCTTTCCAGATCTGATGAGCACTAAGATCTGTCAGAATAGGATCTGCCGAGAACTATAAGCTCCCCAGGTGCTCTAAGTGGCCCTGTAAGGAGGTGGCACAGGGGCAGCACTGCCTCACCTTGTAGATTTTTCCCTCCTCTGTGCCCACTAGGAACATGTAATCAATCTCTTTGTGGAAGTCAAAGGCGGTGCCACAGCCTTGGGAGAAGAGGGAGAAGCCTTAGCTCAGTTCTGAGAGGGAGGCTCCCAGCACCGCCCCCACTCAGCAAGGGGCTCAGCCAGGCACTCTCAGTACAGGACTTGGCACAGGACAGACTAAACCTGGGCCCCTGTAAGGGCTGGGACCAGGCCAAACAAACGGAAACTGGCCCTCTGGCCTAGGCAGTTACAACTTTGCAAATGACCAGGGGTTCTGCAGACAGGAGCGGGGCCTGGGTAAACAAGACAGGGATTGAGTTAAACAGGGTCAGGGTCAGGGTAAACAAGGACAGGGTCTGCAAACAGGGACATGGTCTATGCAAACAGGGATATGGTCTGCATAAACAGGGTTGGAATTGAGTAAACAGGGACAGGATTTGGGTAAACAGGGCCTGATCTGCATAAACAGGGCTGGATCTGCATAATAGCACCTGATCTGCATAAACAGGAACAGGGTCTGCAAACAGGGCCGGGACTTGCATAAATAGAGAGGGTCTGCAGACAGGGCCAGGCTCTCCCATTACCTCCTGCCTGGGAGAGTGCTCAGTTAGGGGGAGGGCCACAGTCACTGACCCTCAGGGGGCCTGAATGACCTGGCCAGGCCTGGAGGTGAGTGGGCTGGGGCTCCTACCCACTGTGTACAGCTGCAGCCCCTCAGGAACTTCCGTGGTGCTGCCTTCCACTTTCAGCTTGATGACATCTGTGTGAACCAGCTCGCTCTGCAGTCACAGAGAGATGGGGGTGGGCACATGGGTTGGGCTGGATCAGCAGGGCTGCAGGGCTTGGGGGAGCCTTTGCCACTCCACTCCCCTCATCCCTGTGTGACCCTCTCTGGGAAACAGTCACCTTCACAAGCGTCCAAGACACAATCCTGCCGTCAGATGACACAGAGAAGAAGTTAAGGTTGTTGTCCATGTCATCCTTCTGCCACTTGACCTGAAACATCCCAAATCATGAGCTCTGGGACCCTGCTAGGGCTATGAGTCAGGGCTTGTGAGCTGCACCCATTTGAGGATCAGAAGCAAGTTCTGGGAGCCCATTTCCCAGAATCCCACGATTGGTCCTCCCTCCTTTTTTCCACCCATCTCTGTCTCATCCCTCTTTCCCTGACCATCTGGGGGCAACAGTGCCAGTCAGGGCATTGCCCTAATCTACTGGCTTGGCAGTGGAGGTATCCAGTTCCTCCCTGGGTTGGGGTGTAGGAGCTTTGGGTCCAACCTCCTTACATAGACATGGCCTGGAAAGGACAGGGCCCATCAACCAGTTTCATTTGTAAAATAGGAGTCATAATAGCATAGGTTTTCTGTGAGGAATAAATGAGATAATATCTGTGAAGCTCTCAGGTGAGAACATCGCACATATTAAGTGTTCAAAAATTGTCAGCTAATGTTCTCATTGTTACCATCATCCTAGCAATCCGGGAGCCAAGGTTCTGCAGGGGCCTCTTCCTGCTTGCTTGGGGTGTGGGGAGGGGCAGCCTCGTCCCCTGCCCTCCTCTTCCAGGCTTGGCCTTTCTCTAGGAATTGTCTCCTCTGTCCCCACCTTCACTTCACAACTAGCTCCTGCTCCCAGAATCTTGCTCCCAAATCCCAGATTGGAGCTGCATTTCTCCATCTGCAAATTGGGGTTAATTATCCTGCCCCACCCGTCTTCTCTGGGCTGGAAGCAAACATATGGGAAAGTGTTTTGGAGACAAAGCTGTTGTCTTATGAAGATGACATGCTTAAGGCTCAAGATTCTGTTGCCAGATGTGGAGTCCTGGCCAAGCCATGTCCCAGAGAGCTGGGTGGGGCTGGGTGCCCGGAGATTTTCATCCTCCAGCTCCTTCCAGACCGCCCATGCTGAGGCCACTGTCCTGTCCCCTCCCCTGTCACAAGCAGAGGCCCAGTTAGAGAGGCCAAGAACCCAGCACCATTGCCTGTAACCACAGCTGTCACCATGGCTGTTGCAGGGTGGAAGGTGGGGGAAAGGGGTTGCCTCTCCCCCACCACCCCCCAGGCCTGGTGGATCAGAGCTGCAGGAGGGTCGCTGAGTCCTGCCTGCGCCTGTCTGGGCAGCTGCTCTTTCTCCACTTTCACTGGGGGCTTAGAATACCACCACAGCACCACAGAGCCTGTAAGCCCAAGTCAGCCCTGATATTGAGACCACTTCCCCTTCTGTGTAAAGGTGGTCCCTTTAGAGGGGGAAAGGGGCAGGGGTTGTCAAAGGCCAGGCTATAAGAGGCGCTAGGGAGCTGCAAAGGGAAGTGTTTAATGAGCAGACGCCAGCATGCATGGAAATTGTATTTCACACCCCACTTAGCAGCCTGATGCCCGACAGAGGTTGGTGTGTGTGTATTTGCAAGTGACTATGTATGTGTGTAAGTGTGTGTAAGTCACACAACATCTCCTGGGGTGGAGGTGGGAGGGTAGGAATAAAGCAGGAGAGGGAAAGTGGTAAGTGGGTTTAAGAGAATGAATGCCCAGGAACCAGGTGGCAGAGAGGAAATGGCGCCCGCTTAACTGGTCCCTTCTCTTCCACCTTATCTGACTAGAGCCAGCCAACTTGACCCCAGTCTCTACTTATTTACCCTTCCTGCTCCCTTCTCCAGAATTGCACAGTGTATGTACGTGTGTGTGTGTGCATGTGCGCGCAAACACACACACACACACACACACACACACACACACATACACATACACGTGTGTTGCTGGTTGAGTCTTCACAGTAAAGTCTGAACAGGGCTGGGCTACCCAGGCAGGCTCCCTGGGGAAGTAACCTGTGCCATGGGACAGGAGCCCAGTCTTATTAGAACAGACAGTTCTCTCCCTGGCTCTAAAACCTTCCCTGGCTCCCCATTGCCAACAGAACAAACTTTTGCCCCAGCCTGGCATTTGAACCAAAACAACCTCTTTGGCTTCCCCCAAATGCCTCTAACACAGTCTGTTTAAGAAGGACCCGGACTCTGATGTCTCTCACATCTCATTCACCAGCACGGTTCTCCCTCAAGGTTCAGTCTCATACAGCCAACTGCCTGTGGGACGCCTCCTTCTGGGTGTCCCTCAGGCTTCTTGCATTAACTTCTGGCCAAACCTGTTCCCGTTCTGCCATTTCCCACTGCTGCGGATGACCTACCAGGCACCCCAAACCTAGGCAGCGTCGATTCTCCCATTTGCCCATATCCAGTCAGTCCTTTCCTTCTATTCACTCTACTGCCTCTCAACCCTGTCTTCTGGTTTCTATCTCCACTGCCCCTGCCCCATATCAGCTTTCGTGGGTCCCCATGCTGCAGCCAGAGGACCTTTCCAACACACACACAAACACACACACGACTGTTTTTCCTGTGCCCCAAACCCTCCGATGGTTGGTCAGCGATTTTCAAACTATGCTCAGGGGAATCTTAGGAGCCTTGTGAAGGTACCTCAGGGGTCACACACGACTGTTTTTCCTGTGCCCCAAACCCTCCGATGGTTGGTCAGCGATTTTCAAACTGCTCAGGGGAATCTTAGGAGCCTTGTGAAGGTACCTCAGGGGGCAGGGGAATGATAATAAGGGGCCCTTAAGCAAGCAGGGCCCTGATCCTACCAGAGCAGCTCCACTCTCACCTTTTTAATATATAGGGCTTCTGTATTAACACTTCATCTGAAACCACTGGCCTACAATGTCCAAGCTTCTTAACCGGATGGACAGGCACACTCACGATTGGTGCCTGTCTTTTTCTCAGGTCCTGTTCCTCTCTTCCTGTCTCTCACCCATTGCTCCAAATGTGTTTTTCCCCAACAAGCCACTCTGCCTGATGCTTCATTATTGTGCACGTGAGCTCCTTCGTACCCTTCTTCATCTAGCTAACACTTCCTCATCCCTCACAATTCAGCTCAGACATTGCTTCCTCTAGAAAGACCTGCCTGGCCCTCCTGCCTCTTGTCCCCACCCAGGACAATGTGGATGCCCCTCCGTGCACACTTCTACTTCAGCACTTAGCATACTGCCCTGTGGTTGTGGTTATCTACCCACTAGGAACTCCAGAGGTCAGGCCCTTAAGCATCCTCAGCAACCAAAGGAGCAAACAGGAAGGAGTTACTGAATGGATAAATGAGTGAATTAACGAATGAGGAAGGGAGGGAGGAAATGAGAGGGGAAAAAGGGGAATAGGAAGTGAGTAAACAATGAAAGACAGGTAGGTCCCTCCCAGGTCATATGCCATGATTCCAGCCAAGAGCCCTGAGTCTTCCATTTTGCCAAGGCAAATTTTTGCAAAGGCCCTATTTTCCTGGCAGGATGGTGGCAGAACAGAAGGCCACCCTGTCCAGGTAAGTTCCAGTCTTCCTGGGACCTGCCCAGTGAAAGGGATAATGTATCTTCTCCATGCTCCACCCCCCCAACCTGCTATTTGATTTAGAGAACATAGCAGAGTAGGGTAGGTGGTTGGCCTGGGCCTCTACCCTCTCCTGGGCTTGAGGAGGGTGGTCAGGCCAACCAGGGATGCTCTGAGCGTGGCCCTGGTAACCTGAGCTGGGAGAGCAGGGCCAGAGCTGGCACTGGTTTGATATGATCAAGGCAGGTCTTTTCTCCCCTCCCTGGTCTTCAAAGTCTCTGCAGACACCCTCCCCATGCCTGGAGACCTCCATGTGCCTGGAGGTGATGAACTGGGAGGTGACTTTTTGGTGGAGAGAACTCCTCAGGCTGCAACCTCTGGTCCCTGCTTTGGTGGAGAGTAGGAGGGAGGCTGTGTAGCAGGAGGGGCTGCCTCCCTCCCACCCTCTGCCCCGGGCTATGGGTAAAGGATGAAGCTGAGAGGGTGCCATGTCTCCTATGCCTGGGCAGTCCTCCCTCTGCTCAGGCCTTTCTGGGAGCTGAGATTCAGTGCTTTGGGGTCCATATGTCTCAAGGAGGTCAGAGCCAGAAGAGGCAGGGGGTGCAGAGCCTGCCTGCAGATTCTGTCCAGGCAGGAGGACAGAGAAAGATGAGGAGACAGACTCCCACTGCTGCCTGATGAGCCCAGAGACCTTGGGCAACTCGAGGCAGGAATCCATCCTTAGATTCTCCTAGACCCGCCCATGGGGGGAGGGTGCACAGCCTCAGAAGGAAGGGAACCTTTGGGACTCAGTGAGGAAGGTCCTGCAAAGCCAGAGCTAGGAGACCCTCTCAGAGTGAAACTGTAAAGTCTACTCCTAGTGGAATAAGATAGGAGACACACAGGGTGGAATCCAGCCCCAATGTCCAGGTAATGATCTCAGGCTCATCTGGGACTTTGGCAGAAGCCCCGCCCACCACTCTGTCGGTCAGGAGAAGAGGGGGTGCTAGAGAGGCTCAGGGGCAGACCTCTCCTGTTGGCCCTTACAGCCCCTCCCAGAGGGCAGGCAGCCAGCAGCACCCACGCCTGTCTGGAAATTTCCCCAAATCTAGCCCAGATGGCAGAGGAGAGACCTGTGGCGAGTTGAGGAAGCCTGTGGGCAAGGATCTGGAGTCCATAACATACCCAGCTGGAGCCTGTCAGGGCCTGGAGCTTCCAGCCATGGCCTCTAAGTAACTGATCGCCACACCTAAGAGATCCTTGGCAGACAGAAGGGGCCTCCTAATGGGAGTTCTGGAACAGCAGACCCCAACTCTCACTGGAGACCTTCTGTCCTCTCGATTCCCACCTCTGCCCTTCTCTGCCCCTTCTCACACCCAGCTCCTTGGTCTCTAAGCTGGTACCTACCACCTCCATCCCCTTGCCTGTGGCCCTCTCCTCCCATAGTTGCTCCTCCAATGGCTCCCAGGCCCACATGCTACTCCTGTCCCCACTGCCCCCATCCTGGTTCGAGGCTGACCTGCCAGACAGGATCCGTGTGCTTGCCAGACTTGGCTGAGCTGCGGAAGGAGGGCTGGGAATGGGGCTTCTTGAGGTTGTAAATGGCCACATTGCCATCGTAGTGGCCCACCACCACCAGGTAGGGGTGGTCCACATGCATGTCGAGACACATGATGCCACTGTCACTGCTGAAGACGTATTCGGGGAAGCTGGGGTTCTTCATGCTGTAGAGCAGCAGCATGCCCCGGCTCTGCTTCATGAAGTCATCTGTGCAGGAAGATGGGTGGCTGCAGTTGGAGGCGCCAATCGCCCTGCCGGGGAAGCCCCTCTTGCCCCTACCCCACCAGGTAGGCATGCCCTGCCCTGCTTTGCTTCTGTCAGAGGGTGGGACACCCCTCTGGGCTTCATCTGCTACATCTGTGAAACGGAATTGTGAGGTCTGGCCTACCCCTTCCCAGGGTTCATGGAAAGATCCAACAATCAGTAAAGGTGACTGGGCTTATCTGAGGGATAGACAGTTATTCTCCTTATTCTTCTGGGGGCACAGAAAAGGGGGACACAAGCTCAAAGAGTTACTAACTGAAGAATGGGTATGGGCTTGGGAAGGAGCAGGACCCTCAGAGGGAGTTCAGATGCCCAGCCCTGGGGCCGGCTGCTGTCCTGCAGATGCCTGGATAATGCACATGTACTCCCTACCGCCCAGCCAAAGACAGGGGTTAAGCTTGAACTAACATGGAATTGTCTACAGTGAGTCCCAAACTAGCCACCTATGAGCATCTCCCCGTACCCTCTGGCCCCACAGGCCTGAGCCCAAGCTCTAGGTATGCTCCCCAAATCCAGAAGTCCCAGGCCAGCCAGTCAGGCTTCCACAGGCCCACTCAGCCTGGGCACAGCTTTTGGTGGTTGGAATTGTCTACAGTGAGTCCCAAACTAGCCACCTATGAGCATCTCCCCGTACCCTCTGGCTCCACAGGCCTGAGCCCAAGCTCTAGGTATGCTCCCTAAATCCAGAAGTCCCAGGCCAGCCAGTCAGGCTTCCACAGGCCCACTCAGCCTGGGCACAGCTTTTGGTGACCAACAATGGGCCACTCAGCTGCGGTCCTCTTCCCTGCCCGCCTGATGCCAAGGGCATGCCTCCCACTTTTTCTTTCATTTTCTGCACACTTGACATCCATCCCGATCTGTAATCATTGAACAGAACACAGCCCCAGCCCTTGAGTCCAGCTCTCCTGCCTCCACCAGCCCAATCTTTCCAGCCTATTCTCCAAGCTCAGAGGAGCTAGTGCTGAAGAGGTAGAAGGCTAGTGCAGCATCTCGGGGGTCCTATGCTAAGGCAGTCTTTCGGCCACTATAAGGGTCCTCCCCACCATCCCTGCTCAAGAGCTACCTTCTGTGTCCCTGGCAGGGCCTGGGACCTCCTAAGAAAGTGGCCAGTCCTGAGGTGTGGAGCCCATGAGTGGGAGGGAAAGGGGAGCAGCTCCAACTTGACTAGTTCTGCTGAGTCATTCTCTCTGTCTTATTCCTAAGGCCGCCCCTTACTCAAAAGAGTAAGTGACTGGGCTGAACTCAGGGACAATCTGGCCCCACTTCCTGGGCTCATGGCATGAGTTCAGCTACTACCAGGTCCCAGGTATCCCCACCCTGGGCACTCTGCAAACACCAATCTGTGCTCTGACTGGGGGCAGGGAGCCACCAGGAACCAGGCTGGCTTTAGAAGGGTACAGTTGAAAGCTGAGGCAAGCTGGCATGCCCATCTATTGGAAGCCCACCTTCCCTTGCTGGGGATGGTCCTCACCAGCTCTGAGACTCTTGTTGGGAACCCCTCCAGGTTCTAGACTAGAATACGTGGAAGGAACAGGGCAGTCAAGCTTGATAATAAGGGAATGACTGTGCAGAGAGAAGCATAAATTTCCTGAGAAAGGGACACAGAGAACAACCAATCAGACCTTAGATTCTGCCTAGTTCCCAGGCCATATGCATCTTGACAATAAGCCCGACTTTCTTTTTTTCTTTCTTTGCTTCTTTCTTTTTCTTTTTGTGCTGGCCAGTAAGGGGAACTGAACCCTTGACCTTGGTAGTATCAACACCACATTCTAATCAATTGACCTAACTGGTCAGCCCAAGCCCCACTTTCTTAATGTGGCTTTGGTGGTCTCTGTTACGTGCAACCGAGTCCTCCTTGACATAGAGATCACAGTTCCTAACCACGGCTAGACTATGTGTTTCCTGAATTCTTATTCAGAGCTAATGATGGAGTTTGGATGTGCTGTCCCCTCCAAAACTCATGTGGAAATTTGATCCCCAATGTGGCGGTGTTGGTAATTGATTGAGTCATGGGGGCAGATCCCTCATGAATGGATTAATGCTCTCCCTGGGGGAGGGGGGAGTAATGAGTGAGTTCTCGCCCTATTAGTTCCCGTGAGATCTGGTTGTTTAAAAAGACCCTGGCACCTCCTCTCTCTCTTGCTCCCTCTCGCCATGTGACCAGCTTGTGCCTGCCACTTTCTGCCATGAGTAGAAGCAGGCTGAGGCCCATGCCAGATGAAGCTGTCCCAGAATCGTAAGCCAAATAAAACTGTTCTTTATAAATTACCCAGTCTCAGGTATTTGTGTTATAGCAACATAAATGGACTAATACAGAGCTCTTTCCACCAAACCACACCAGGAAATCAGAGAAAACCCTCTCAAGTCTATCTTATTCCATGAACTCCTCATCCCTGACTCCAGTGGCCCCTATGAGACCTCACTACTCCATTCTCAGAGTCCAAACATCCACAGTTCAAACCTCCAACAGTCCCAGCATGATATCATCATCTCATTTTCCAAAAGTCCTTAAATGACATCACTACTCAGACCACCAATTGTCCCCATGTGATATCATTGCTCAGGCTCCTGGCAGTCCTAGTTACATCATTGCCCAGTCTTAGTATGATATCACCCATCAGGTCACCAGGAGCCTAATGATATCATTGCTCAGCCCTCCAGCATTCCCAGAATGACATCACCAACCAGGTCACCAGAAGTCCCAGTATGACATTAGCACCAAGGTCACCCACAATGCCTCAGTTTCCAATGAGGGCTAGAATCCCATCAGGCTCAAGGATTACAGACCCTTGGGCCCTGGGCCCTGAGGTACTTTGTCCTGGACCCCACAAGCTCCCTGGCTCCTCAAAGCAGGGTTAGAGGGTAATAGTGACACAGATGGGAGCTCCCTAACCCCACCCTCCCTTGTGTAAAGAGGCAGAGACTCAAGTCTGGGACCAGTGGAGAAATTCCAGGGTCCTGTAGGCCACAGGGTTTCAGTAAATATATGTGGCTAGGTAGAAGGGAAGGAGTGATAAAGGGAGGGAGAGAGGGCGGGGGAGAGAGAGAGAGAGAAATAATGAACACCTGTCTGCGACCCTGAGACCGAGGGAGAGAATTTCTGGCTGGGACTTAGTCCCCCTGCTCCACTTGGGGCTTTTGCCCACGTTCCTTCCTTAAGCTGCATTGTATTCTTACCGCATTGTCTAGAGAGAGTCTACTAGCCACTGAGGACCTTCTCCGGGAAGCCTTCCAGACTATTCAGCCACTAGGGGTATCTCTTCTGGGTGCACCCCTTGCCCCTTCAAGGAACTGTAAGCAGTCTTCTCCTCAGTCGGCCATAAAAGATGGAGGGAGTATGGCCTGGTGCAGCCCAGCAGGCTTGCTCTCTCCAGTGGTAGAGTTGCCGCCTGCTAACCCTGCTCTGCTGGATAATCTCTAAGGCTTCCCTGACTCTACCCTTCTATGATCCACATGATTTGGGGGAGGAGAATCAACCCCCTAATAGATAAGAGTATGATCTGGCAGTTCTCAGAAAGCTATGGTCTCAGGCCAGGGGGATAACAGGGATGGGGTGGCTTAATTCCACCACTGACCAAAGCTCTGACTGCCTTCAGCTTCCTCTGCTAGATTTCTGGCAGAACAGTGCCCACAAGGAACATAGACTGATGTCTTCTTGAACCAGCATCCATCAGTTGTGGCCTCAGCCCTATAACTCCACTCCTGCCCAGCAGGTAACACCTCTAGATTGCAGGGCCCACACTGAAGCATTCTGGAGAACCCCAAGCAGAATTCTGGGACAGCAAGGCAGGCAGAGGGCATGTTAGGGCATCAGGCTAAAGTCAAGTCAGTGGTCAGTGGGAAGTAGATGCCAAGCTGCAGAGACAAGGATACCAAGCCAGCCTCGGACAGGAGGCTTCCTCTCTTGCTGTGGCATCCTAAATGAGTCCAGTCCAGGACGAGCTCCAAGGCAGCAGCTGTTTAGTGACACCCTTATTAAGTCATGCAAGAGGCACTTGGAGGGGGTATGTGGTAGACAGAATAATGACCCCCCCACACCCCAAGATGTCCACATCTTAATTCCCAGAACCTGGATCTGTAAACATGTCACTTTGCGTGGCAAAAGGGACTTTGCAGATGCGATTAAGTTAAAGACCTTGAAATGGTGAGTTTATCCTGGATTATCTGTGTGACTCAATGTGATCACAAAAGTTTTTATAAGGGAAAGAGGGAGGCAGGAAAGTCAGAGAAGGAGATATGATGACTGAGGCAGAGGTAAGAATGACGTGATTGCTCGCTGGAAGGGGGCCACAAGCCATGGAATGTGGGCAGCCTCTAGAAACTGGAAAAGGCAAGGAAACAGATATTCCCCTACAGCTCCCAGAAGTAATGCAGCCCTGGTAACACCCAATTTTAGCTCAATGAAACCCATTTTGGGCTTCTGACCTCCAAAACTATAAGATAATACATTTGTATTGTTTTAAGCCATTGTTTGTGGGAACTTGTTATAGCAGCAACAGGAAACTAATACAGTGGGCATTCAGGGAGGTTGACCCCAACTCTACTTTTAGGAACCAGAGAGCAAGCCTCCCATAGATGGCACATTTTTCTAGGATGGTTTGGAAGCAGTTCCTCTAGAAGTTAGGGGGATGGATGCAATGATCCTCAGCTTTTCTGATGACAATAATGAAACCCTCTCTCAGTTTCCAACACCCCAGCCCTGACACCTTGGACTCCAAGATCAGAAATGCCACTTGTGTCAGGGGGATTTTAATAGTCTCCAAAGGCAGGGGATCTGCCTAAGGCTGCCTTAAAAAAGGGCATCAGTAGGGCCGGCCCGGTGGCGCACTGGAGAATGCGCCGCTTGGGAGTGCGGCGGCGCTCCCGCTGAGTGTTCGGATCCCATGTGGAGACCGGTTCCCGCTCACTGGCTGAGCGCGGTGCTGGCGCAACACCGAGGGTTGCAATCCCGTTGCAGGTCAGTAAAAAGGAAAAAAAAAGGGCATCAGTTGCTAGAGGGTCCCAAACCTCAAGCATGGTCCAGAGGCCATGGTGCCAAGCTGCACTCAGCCTCCTGGGCTGCTGGGTTTTCCCAGCACTCTCACTCAATTTGAAGTCATATTTAAACAGTGTGGGAAATAACAGCAAGGCCCTGGAGACAGAATACATCAAGCGGGACATTTAATTTGATTTAGGGAAAATGAGGCAAACATTTGAGAACCTAAATAACTAACCAGTAATTAAACTAACAACCGAATGCCCTTGCACTACAACCCAGCAAGCACAGTGGCCTTTATGAACTGTATTTACAAAGAGACCTGACAACATAATTAGTCCTGTAAATTTTACGCAGCCTGCAGCTGAGAAGTGATGGATTTTGTGTGTGGAGGATGAATGGGGAGAAATGAGGTGGATGAATTTCCATTTTCGGTAAATGAAATTAACAATGCTTAATTAGTGAAGCTGACAAATAAATGATCAGGAAAGATTTAAATCCCTACAAGTTTATCTCTGGCCTGGGCAGGCCAAAATGTGGCAAGACAGAGCAGGAATGGGTTTAGTGCTGGGACTGAGGGCCTGACATTGGTCCCTTTTGAGGGCGCTGCCCCCAGAGGGAGGCTGGTTTGAGGGACTGCTGGCTCCCCTGCTCTTCTGTTACTGGCCTGCTGGGAAGCTTCCTGCCCCATCTCCTGCATTATAACTGCAGGACCACACAGACTATCCAGGATCTGTTCCACCACCCCTGCCTGACGGAACATGAGGAGTCCACATTTCCCTACTGTAAACTGGCTAATGGGATGGAAAGGACCCCTTCAGTAGAGCAGGCTGACATAATTGCATCCCAGCAGGTCCAAGGCCATCTCTTCCTGGACTAAGTCCCTTTGCCCTCCAACACTTCTACACCTGCTTTCATCTGCCGACAGCCTCATTCTCCACTCTGCTGGGAACATGGAGTCTGGCCCTTGGAGGCATCCCAGTGTTTGCCTTTTAAGCAGCCTGACATGCTCAGCACCTGGTTCCCGGTAGTATAGACGGGAGGTTTCTGTGCTGTTGCAGGCAATTGCCTGGATTCCCTTTTCCCCATCTGCCTGCTCCTAGCCTGGCTCCAGCCAACCTTCCCTGCCCCCAAATGGGGGATTGGCCATCCTAGGGTACATGTCTAGCTCTGCCAAGGTTTTATTTGGCTGGGTCACAGAATAAGCATCTGTGAATTCCAGGCAAAATGAGGTTTACTAGGTCTGGATTGAGCTCCCCAGGGTCAAACCCAACAACAAGCCCAAATTCTCACTCCAGTGTCGTCCTCATGAGGCAAGATCTGGTCATGGGAGGCTGGTATCTGGGAGTTTCCAAAGACAGTGTGATGGATGCTGGAGAGACCAGCTGCTCCTCACCTGACCCCGTCCAGCAACTAGGGTGCCCTCTGCCTGCCTCAGCTTTGCCCTCTTTCTTCCATGGGTACTCAAGACATGGGAATCCCAGAGGTGACCTCGGGGTGGATGCAGGGGCCTTTCCAAGTCCCAACCTCCCTCCCCTTCTCTGGAATAGAAGAGAAAAGTACTGAGCTATGCAAAGCTCTGGAGAATAGATGCTCATCTGAAAGCTGGCCAACAACTCCCGTGTCAGTGACAGCAAAAGCAAATTCCACTGCCACTGCCACTGGGCCCTGCTCCCCAAGAGAGATCCCCTCTGTCCTCACAGTTCCCTTTCTCTGCCCAGGCCCCCTGAAGGTATGCAGGAAAGCTGGGGGAAAGAATGACAGACAATCAGCAATGATCATCCTTTATGTGTAGGCGGTTCCTATAGCTCGCAGGGCACGTTTACTTCTTTTCTCACAAATGTGCCTCACAACTGCCCTGGGATGGAGGCCTGGCAGGCTGTCAGCCTCCCCATGTCACCAATGAGGAAACCAAGGCTCAGAGAGGCTTCTGGCCCCAGGTAACACCACTGGGAAGTGACACTCCAGGAAAAGGTCTGTTGTTGACTGTGGGCACCCACTCAGGCATGTGGATGTGGCTAAAAGGACCGATGAAGGACAAACAGACCCTGGGAAAGTGCCTGCCCAAAGGAGGCTGCTGGGCCTGTCAGGCTTGAGGTCATCTTTCATGGGAGGTGAGTTCCTCTTCTCTACTGTTCCTGACTAAGGCTCCCCCTTCCCACCCATGGACAGCCTCCACCTGACCCCAACCAGCTGACCCTGCTCTGACCTGGTGGGAGGAGAATGGGGCTAGTATTGAAGCAGTTTCTCCTCCCACCTTCTGGGGAGCCTCCCACCCCCACCTCAGTCCTGGGCAGAGAGCCTGGGCTGAGAGCAACCTCACAGGGGGGTCCACACCCACTCCTGGGAGGGCCTGCCCAACCCCCAGGCACTATTCCAGGCCCAGTAGCTGCAGCAGAAGAGGAGGAGGAATGTGCTAGTTCCCTGCCAGGGGAGGAGGGTGCTTCCCATTTGGCAGCAGCCCACCCTCAGGACTGGGGACACAAAGCAGGCATTTAGGCCATCCTCAAAGGCGGCCCAGACCACAAGACTGGGAGCAGCTCCAAGGTCTCCTCCCTGAGAGGAATGACAAACACCAACTCCTCCTTGCCCTCCTCTCACCTCCCCACCCCCATCAAAGAATGGGAGGACAGGCGGTCTGAAGGGCAGAGACCAGGAGCTTGTATTCCTGCCAGCCAGCAGCAGCTTGGAGAATGGAAAGGTTTTTCCATTTGCAGAAGTTGGTTCTTCCAGCCAGAGAACAAGCTGTTGGCATTGGGGAGCTGCAACTAATGCGAAGTGTAGGGCCCTCTCCCGTTAGGAAGGGGAAACGTCCAGGCCAGCACAGCGGTAGGGGCTTTGGCTGGGACTGAGTAACGTGGGGAAAGCAAACTGCCCAGACAGTTACTACTGCGTGCTGCCTCCCTCCCATGGGTGGGGAATAGGCAAGAACTGGAACACCCTGGCCAATAGTGGTCTCCCAGGGCTAAAGGGCCAAGGGATGAACCTCAAGCACTCGCCCCCAACCCATCCTCGACCCCCATGCCAGGGTCTGATCAGGAAGGCCCGATGAGGAGGCAGAGAAGGGGGCCTCCATCACCATTCCAAAGTTGTGGTTAATATCCTGCCATCTCTCCTTGGGATGCCTACACCAGTCTCCTAACTGGTCTGTCAGCCTCCTGTCTCATGTCTGCACTTCCTCCCTGCACTGGTGACATCCCAGCCCTTCTCTAATTCCTTCAGCTATTTCCTCCTTAGGAGAAAGTCCCAGCTTCTTGGAATGGCTTATCAAGCCCTTTGAGGACTGACCCCGACAGCTTCATTTCCTGCCACCATATCTTTCGTGTCTCCAGACCTTTGCACATGCTGGTCCCACTCCCAGAAGTGCTCTCCCCGTCTTTCTTCACCAGAATAACTCTTTCAACTTGGCATATTCAGCTTGGTACTGTACCTTCCTTTATCTAGCACTAATTGCCAGTGTGACTGTGGGTCTTCTCCATTAGACTGTGAGTCCCCCTGAGGGCAATGATTGCATCCTAGTCAACTCTGTATGTTTCACACCTGGCAAAGAGCTCTACCCAGATCAGGTACCTAATGTTTGCTGTTTGCATGAGCAAATGAATGAATAGCCAGATCACTTACAGGAGCCATGTCCCACTGCAAACAGATCCTTGTACTTTGGATTCCTGCAAAAGAAATATGAACCCATTGGCACAGGGAATGAACATGACCCTTCCATGAACACGGGCCTTCCCATGGGCATTGGTGCTTAACTACACTGCAGACATCTACTGTCCAGCTTCGCCCTCAGCAACTGGGAAACCTGAGATGATCCTGCAATCCCATAAGAATCCCAGTGCCATTTTCGCATACTGCCATGTTTCACACTCAAGTTAGTTAAGTGCAGTAGAAGAGGCCACTCAGGGCTTGGCACGCAGCTGACACTCAGGGACTCTGGGTTTACTGCAATTCCTACACTTACCAGCAGAGGGCGGTGACGGCCAGGCGCTTGGCTTTGTCGTTTTGGAACTTCCAGAGCGGCAGCAGCGTACCCTCCTGGTCCCGGTATTCGTCAGCAGCATCTTCATAGTACTTAAAATCTTAAGCACACACAGGCAGTCAGCCCATTTTATGGCAAACTCAGATCCATCACTAACCGCACCTCCTTGGGCAAAACAATGAAGCTCTTTGTGTTTCACAGTGGGAATAACAACAGCAGCTACAGCAAAGGACTGTGGTGAGGATGGATTAATTGACCGAATATATGTAAAGTGCTTAGAAAAATGCCTCTGGCACGTAGTAAGCTCTCTCTACGTGTTAGCTATTGTTATTGTCATCGTTGTTGTTGGAGGTAAATCACAGTAAAGCAGCCATGTTTGCATGGATAAAATCCCAGGTTTGTGGCCCTTGGACCCATGAGTTTCCCTAATACTTCAGAAGGCTCAGATTTGAGCAGCCACATTTCATAGGTTCAGCTGCCAGGGGCTTATTAATAGTCCTATTCAATCTACATCCTAAGTGCCTAAAATGCAGCCCATCTTCATATCCACTGCCAAGCCTCACTATAATGAAGCTGACCGGATCCCCCCAGGGGTTCCCCAAACTCAAATTCACCTTCTGCCCTCAAAATTGTCTCTGCCTCCCATTTTCTCTAAGTTAGGTAAAAGCCCCATCCTTGAGGTTGTCTAAATCAGAAACCTGAGTAACACTTGATTGATCTCATCATTTCTCATATTTTCCTTCTGATTATCTTTTTAATCCATTTGCTTCTCTTGAAACCTATAGCCACTGCCCAGGTTCAGGCCTCAATATCCATCACCTGCATGACTACAACAGTCTTCTAACTGGTCTCCTACCTCCAGTAACTCCTCCCCCAGCCCACGTTCCACAGAGCTACAAATCTGAGAACAAACAAATCACCTCACGACACCACCTTCCCTTCCCCACCCCACTGAAACCCCTCCATGTCTCTCCATGCACAGGAGCTCCTTGGTCAAACCGAGGCTCGTGGCCACTGCTTCCATGGCATTTCCACACCAGCTGTGCTTGTACCCTCTATATCAAATAGTCTATATATCAAACATATCAAATGAGTCAAGTCTCACCAAACAAATCACCTCACGACACCACCTTCCCTTCCCCACCCCACTGAAACCCCTCCATGTCTTTCCATGCACAGGAGCTCCTTGGTCAAACCGAGGCTCGTGGCCACTGCTTCCATGGCATTTCCACACCAGCTGTGCTTGTACCCTCTACATCAAATAGTCTATATATCAAACATATCAAATGAGTCAAGTTGTCTCAGGGTTCTTTGTGTTTCTACATGCTGTTTCATGTCTAAAATGTCCTGCTCTTCCTGGCAAACTCCTACCCACTCCAGATCCAGATCAAATGCCTCCTCCTCTGTAAGGCCTTCACTTTCTTTTGAGCAGAGTTAATTTCTTCCTCTATTCCAGCTCTGCCTCTCCTCTACTAAAACATCTGTCACACTGAGTTGCCTCTTTTTATCCTTTTGCCTGTCTTCCCCACCAGAAAGCTCCTGGAAAGCTGTCATCTCTGGGTCCTCAATACCTAGCACAGGGCCAGCCACAGAGCAGACACACAATGACTGTTCAAAGAATGCAATGAAATAAATAAACAGAAGTGAGATAGTTCTCAGTCTTCTTTCCAAGCAAGGGTGACCAATTAGAAAATGAATCTTTTCATACAACCCAGTCAAGGACATGCCCAGGCATTGCCCCAGCCTCTCTCACAAATCCCCACATTTTTTTTTTTTTAAAGATGACCGGTAAGGGGATCTCAGCCCTTGACTTGGTGTTGTCAGCACCACGCTCTCCCAAGTGAGCGAACTGGCCATCCCTATATGGGATCCGAACCCATGGCTTTGGTGTTATCAGCACCACATTCTCCCGAGTGAGCCACGGGCCGGAGCTACAATGCCCACATTTTGATGTTTCTGGTAGTACATTTCAAATCTCAAAGATGTCTCAGAACAAAAAAGAGTGGTCAGAGAGGCATGAGCCTTGATCACATCAGAGTTTCCCGAGCTCAGGTATCTTTGAAAATACTTAATTTCAGAGAGGAAATTAATTGGTAACCCTTCTCTATTTTCACTTCTCCTTTATGGTTACACTTTCCCAAAGGGAAAAGAGTATGCAATTAAAAAAAATCAAAGTTCAATGCATTTTTATGTGACTGTGTTCTTACAAATGAAAGTGGTTCACCAAGGCCAGTTTCTCCACGGATGTTAATCAGGTTTGCAGCCCTTTGGTGGGCCACTTGCAGAGGCTGCATTTTAGAAAGCCAAGTTGTGTGAGTGACAAATTCATTCATAGCTGCTGTGTACCCTGACAGCTTTGAAAAGCACTCAAGGTCGTTTTCCAGCCTGAATGATAACAAGGGGGCTTGTTTAGGCTGCTGCTCTTGGAAGTCCTGGTTTCTATGTCCCATGGGTGACCAATGAGCATCAAGTCACCAAGAAGAGCTCTAGGCTGTCAGAAAAGGAGACCAGCCAGCAGGGAGGAGCTGCCAAGTCTGGGGAGGCAGCTGCTCCAAATACATGCACAACCTCATAGGGAAATACAAGCCACTTGGGAATGTGCTGTTCATGCCATGGAAAGGATTCCGTTGCCCTGGCACTGTCAAAGACACCAGAATTTCCCAGGCCCTTAGGATTTAGGCATTTCCAAATCAATCTTTCTTTACCTCATCACTAATTAATCACCAGGAAGGATCTATTGAGTGTGTTTATTTGAAATGTCTCCTCCAGCCCAGTAGCTTTGTAGTCTAGTGTGACGTGCTTAGGCTATGTTTAAGGGGCCTGTGTTCAAGTCCTGATTCCACCACTCACACCTCACACTAGCTGTGACTTTGAACAAGTGGCAACATCCCAGCCTGAGTTTCTCATCTATAAAATGAAGACAACAATGGTATTCACCTCACAGTGTGGCTGTCCAGAAGAAATAAAGTAATACATGTAGATTGTATAGCAACATGCTTGGCACACAGGCCACTCCCCATGAATGCGGGTGCTTGTTTTTCTCTATTGTAACTGCTCCTTTTTCTCTATCCCTCATGATGCAGGCTGGGTCACATATGGCAAGGCCCATTCCACCCGTCACCTGAACCTCATCTTTACCTCTATCCCTGTCTTCAGCCCAAGCACATCCTCCTCCAGCCTTTCTCGCATCAGGCTATGGCCCTGCCCAAAGAGAGGACCCAAATCTAGGTCTTGAGATTTCTTTTTTTTTTTTTTCCTTTTTGTCTTTTTTACTGACCAGTAATGGGATCGCAACCCTCGGTGTTGCGCCCGCCCCCCGCTCAGCCAGTGAGCGGGAACCAGTCTCCACATGGGATCCGACCCCGCGGCGGGAGCGCCGCCGCACTCCCAAGCGGCGCACTCTCCAGTGCGCCACCGGGCCGGCCCAGGTCTTGAGATTTCTTTTTTTTTTTTTCCTTTTTGTCTTTTTTAGTGACCAGTAATGGGATCGCAACCCTCGGTGTTGCGCCCGCCCCCCGCTCAGCCAGTGAGCGGGAACCAGTCTCCACATGGGATCCGACCCCGCGGCGGGAGCGCCGCCGCACTCCCAAGCGGCGCACTCTCCAGTGCGCCACCGGGCCGGCCCAGGTCTTGAGATTTCTTATTCTGTCTGTCCTCTACTCAGTCTTGCTTGAGGATCCTATAAATGCTAGAAAGTAAACTGCTCTGGGGATCCTCAAGAAGGGAAGAAGGAAAACGAGGGATGAGTGGGAGAGTAAAGGAAGGCTTCAGGGAGGGATGAGCTAGATTCCAAGGGACGAGAGGGAGGATAGCAGAAGCCAGGTGGCCTTGGCTTAGCTTACTCAGGTGTAAGGTAGGGGTGATTATCTCTGCTCTGCCTGCCTCCCAGGATTATTGGGAAGATGACATCAGATCACTGATGTGCAGGTGTTTTTTTGCTACATCACTGTCAGATCTTATCACTATACCCATTGTTTCTTATGACATTGTTCATGGTTGACCCATGTAAGTCTTGTCTCCCCAGTGACATCCAGAGGAGGGGAGGATTATTTTTTCTCCCCTTGCACCTATAGGACCTAGCATGGGACACTCAAATACCAACCTTTTATAAGGGATTTTTAGTACAGGCAAAAATAGTGGTTGCCAGCACTTCAAATCTTACCTTGAGCAACGTCATCATATGTATTCTGGTTGACCATCCGTTCCACAATTTTAGCAGCTTGGGACACTTTGGTGATATCATCACTCTGTAAAAATATAGAAGCCATGGGGTCCTCATAAGCCAGCATCTGGCAAGGTCATGTGCCCTGAGCCATACCAGACTTGGGGATGGGCTCAGCAATGCCTGTCTGACACTACCCACCCAGATAGCTCTGTAAAAGTATCTCTGCCTGCCTCAAGGCCCAACTCACCTACCACTCCCTTACAGGAACCCCTACCTCACAAGTGGCCCAGGGGTCTGAGGTGACATACCTGGCCCCTGGATAGAGCCTGCTACATGCTCTTTCATTTTGAGATTGTTTTGGAGAAGGCCTATGAGCACAAGACAGGGCATCAAAGAGAGCCCAGGAAGGGTATTGGAGGGAAGAGAGCATACAAGGACAGGCTAGAGGTTTTTTTGATGGGGACAGGGACGTTTCACCAGCTCAGGGAATGACACAGATTGCCATTAAGGGCCTCTTCAGAGATCTTCTGGTTCAACTTCCTTATTTAGTCAAAGGTTGAGGAAGACACAGAGGCCCAAAGAGGGGAGAGACACACTTGTACACACGGAGTATGAGGCAGAACTGAGACTCCTAATCCCAGGGCCCTGTCCACTGCCCAGACCAAAGAGAAAGCAGGAAGTTTCACATCAGGGAAAAATGACACATTTCAAACCAAAAAGCAAGATTATCATTGTGTGAAATTCCAAAAATCCACAAAGTGAATCACTTGGCAGGTTAATAGAGGAGCATAGAGTTTAGGCCAGGTGGCAGGAGTGAACCAGCCGAGTGGCAGCCCCCCAGAGGGGGCCCAGGAGGCCAGGCCCATTGGATCTCCCAGGAGTGGCAATATCACGCAGTGGTTAAGAGAATGAGTCCTAGAGCCAGCAGACTTGCATTCCAGCCCCATCCCACTGATTAGGAGCTGGGTGACAACTTTGGGCAAGTTACCTCTCTGAGTCTTAAGAGTCCTCATGATAAAATGAGGATGGATGCTGTCATCTGCCTCAGAGGGTCATTGTGAGGATTAAATGCAATAATACACGTTCTTATTTAACCCAGTTCCTGGTGGTGATGGTAGCAGTGGTGTCAAAGGAAACATGCAGACTAGTGCCATGGCGGCTTATAAAGAGACATCTGGGGAACTGCTCTTTGAGGGCCTTTTGTCAGACCTAGAACTGATTCCAAGTTTATCTCAGAAAACTGACTGAGGAGGACATCCACTGGAGTCTTACAACTACAGTCCTTAGAGTTCCCCTGGTCGCAGCTACTCCCTCTGCTCCCTGACCCAAAGCAGGAATCCTCTCCCCTCAGCAGCTTCCTGGCAAGCTTGACTCCCCATTTCAGACAGCAGCTTCTGTGGTCAGCCAGCTGAAACCTTCCTCCCTGGATCTTCTACCTATGGTCAAAACTCTGTCCTCTAGCATAAGGAATTGTGTGTCTGGTGATAGGTCCTCTGATGTAGGACAGTGCCTCATTCCCCCAAGTCAGCACTTCCTCAGGTGACCCCTTCCCAGCCCCATCAGCCATGGCATGCATATTAATGACAGCAATAGCAACCACCTATTGATCAGTTGCACATAAGTACTATGTTAGGGTCTACACTTACATTATCTTGGGTTCTCATGACAATCTCACAAACTGGGTGTCATTAGGATGTCTTTACAGATGAAGAAATTGAGGTTTCAGAAAAATCCAGCTAATAAGTGGCAAAGCCAGGATGCAAACACATGTCTGTGGACCCCTAGGGCTCATGCTCTCAGCCCCACACAGCCAGCCAGCCCTTCCCAGGCTGACTACCCTCTCCTGATCCTGGGAGACTCAGGGCTCCAGGTGTGCTCTGAGGAGAGAGTGCAGTGGATTATCACCTCTCTTGTTCTGGGTACTATGCTACCTGAGCAGCCAATCTCTTTATTGGTTCTGACTGAACTCGTGGCCTTCAAGCCCTTTCCCCCTTTCTGCCTAATCTTCCAAATCAGACAAGCTTGCATTCATGTCTGGGCATTAATCATTAATGAGACAGAAACCTAAGGTCCACCACTGAGGACTTTCTTACAGGGTATCATGAAGTTATTCCCTTTTCCCCCCTCCTGAACACTTGAGTTTTATACCAACGTAATCAGATCTGGGTTTTTGAGGAAGGGGTGTCACTCTGCTCAAGCACTGGACCTGGGAATAGGGGAAGGTGACTTGCCACTCCCACTCTATTCCACAGACAGCCTGGCCTAGTAGTTGGGATTTCCAGTTAGATTCCTTTGGGCAGAGGTTGCACTGCAAGGCATTCATGGGGCTGGGGGAGTGTATGTTATACCTCACCCCCAGTGTCCTGCCTCCACTGTGGCTTCTTGGTCCCAAGGGCTGGAATCTGCCTGTATCACAGCCTTCCATGTCAGCCAAGCTGGAAGAGGCCAGTGTGACAGAGGGAGGTAGTCTCTCCTGCCTGAGGGTGTTAGACACCAACCCTGACAGGGTTTAAACTCCAGGTCAGTTTCCAGTGTCAGCCACAGGGACTTTTCTGCTGGTTTCTGAGTCCTGGTGACTGTCGTTGGGGTTTCTGCCACCATCAGTCCCAGCACAGAGCCCATAGCCAAGCCCTTGATGGATCTTCATGTTAACCCTGACCTTGGCCAGTGGCCTCTCTGAAGCCTCTCATCTCTAGGGAATGGTGAACGGAAGCCAGGGGTCTGCACAGGGCAGTCTTCAAGACAGGAACTCTATCCTTCACCTCAGAGTTCCAGTACCCAGCATGGCCACGATCACTGGGTGTTTGGTCAGTGATTGAATGAAACCAAATTGGGAAAGTTCCTATTAAGCCAAGGCAGGGGACCCTCAAACTTCCCCTAAAATGTGACATTATCGGGTTATGGAGCAGAGAATTGAGTGGAAGTGGGCATATCTCAGACAAATGAAGTAGAAGTTCCTGTAACTGATCTGGCTTCTGTTCTGGAGTGGAGCATTACCACTTCCCCGAGAGCTGTTGTAGGAACTCTCCGAGGTGCTGAAACCAGCCCCCGCTTCCTATGGACATTGTCCCTCCCACCCCATTGCAGGTCAAACCCACTGTGATCTCCACACTGGGACTCTGACCCCTACCCCGATTTCTCTCTGTTGAAGGGACAAGTGTGACCCTCACTGCAGTGACTCCCTTGCATCACTGTAACTCCCATGATGATACCCAGACCATGCTGGCTACACTCACAGTAAGCCTCCCAACTAGGATGTTTATGACTCCTGCATGGCTCCTCATGCTAAACCCATCCCAGGTGGCCACATACATTGACCTGATATTGATGGTATCTGTGATCATCTCTGATCTGACTCCTGGCCCTGGAGACTCATCTACAGTATAAGGCGCAAGTAAACCCAAGGACTGAAAGTCAAAGATCATCTCACCCTCCCAGACTCCAAGAGCCTTTGCCCAGGGAAGTGATGCCTTATCCTCACATCCCATCCTGGTCAGACTCCTCAGATCTTCCAGGATGCACACACTGCTTTCAATAAGGTTCATGTCTTTTGTTGCCCCCTAGCCCAATAGTCCTGAATCCTTGCTAGCATCCAGACATGTGTTGAATTGGGGGGAGGTGTGGAATGCCAGAGGCAGTTGTAGCTCTCTTCACAACTTCCTCCAAGAAAAAAACTACCTATACCTCAACAATATCCCCACTTTTAAGTGTCTGTGAAACCCTCCCAGACAGCCAGGCTTCTGTCTACCCCCCATATTCTTTGACAGAGCTGTGGGAAACATCACCAAACCTGGGACTCCATAGATGTCAGCTTCCTCATGGCTGTCTTCCCCATTTTTTTAGCCACAGGTGTCTTTGCCTTCTCCTTCTCTTTGGTCTTTTCCTGCTTCTCAAGCTCCTCTACGTAGGCATCATAGATCTCCCACTAGGCAAAGGTGAGATCAGAGAGATCATCACGGGGCATGATCTTCACCCAGCCATCTCCTCTTTAGCCTTTAGAGCTTGAGGAGTTGGTCATGTTAACCCCTGTCACATGCTTCCATAGTACCCTCTACTTGGCCCATTGTAATTATGTGTTCAATGTCTGTCTTCCCTGCTATCCATTAGCTCTGAACAGAAATCAAGAAGCTCTCAGGGCTCATCTGAGCAGACCTTATCCTGAAGCCCAGGGGCTGGGCCTTAAGCTGGAGATCAACATTGTTTAGCCTGCACTCCCTACCAGGCAGAACAAATGGGCAAACATCAGGCTAGCTCACAGTTTTGTTGGTGATTTATAAGACTCTGAATTAGGAAATTTTAAAAATGTCTCCCCCTGCAGAGATGGAATAAACATACTGGCTCAGGCTGTCTTTCTACAGCACTGACCACACTTTAGCATTAAAAGGAGATAAACAAAAGGTAAGGAAACCCCTGCTAATGGTATTTGACAGCAAGAGAAGCCCAAGGGTAGTAGCAGAGGAAGCAGCAAGGATCTGTGGCTGGGAAAATGCCCCAGATCACATTGTGTGCTTCCCAGAGCTGGGCAGTCACTGCCACCTGGAGGCCAGGTAGGCACACCTTATATTTAATAATTCACTCATGGGCTAGGACTCCATGCTGCAAAGTACTTCAATGTTTATCTCATTCAGAATCCTCCAACAACCCTGTGAAGTGGCTTGTCATCCTCCCTTGTCAGAGAAAGAAAGGCATTAAGGGTGACGTGGTTTGTCCAGAATCTTACAATAGAAACAGCAGAGTTAGGGCCTGAGTTCAGGTCACCTGGCACCATATCCCGTCCAGATCAGCGTGGCTATCCGGGAGAACTTGAGGGGAAAGGAGGAGGATCTGCAGGAAGACTCAGTCTGCTAGGAGGGCAGGGCCAGAGTGCTAACACTTCAGGCTCAGCTACAGGGTGCCACAGGCTCCAGAATCCATGGGAACAAACGTTTTCCCCTGGCCCTGGAGGAAGCTCCAGAAGCCATGCCTGTTTCCAGCTTGGACAGCCTTGCTCTGGGTACATGTGGCTGGTCCAGTGCTCACTTGGTGGTGACCTATCACCTGAAGTGTCTTGTGTTCAGAGCTTGGATACTCAGGACAATGAGCAGGGAGGTGGTTGGAGGAGGAGGGCAGACAGCCAGAGGAGTCCTTGGCCAGGCCATTCTCCTTTGCTGCTGAATGAGACAAAGATGCACGGGGGGGTTGGGGAGTGGGGGTGGAGGCAGTGATGGATTTCATGCTGACCCAAGGTCTTACCTGATTGGCTGTGGCTGAAAAGTTTGTCCTGGGAGGAGGCTCCATCTGGCATTCTCGATCCTAGAGATCAATGACAGCAGAAAACCCACAGAAAGCCCTCAACCCCTTCTCACTTAACCTACAGTACATCCTTAGGAGAAGAATTTTGGTTGGAGCTGAGGGAGGGGTGGGACACAGGGCTGTGGAAGTAAAGGGAGGCTGGGACAAAGGATTGAATGATGAATTTGAAGCCCACACTTTTTTCCCACTCTGGCCTCCTTCAGAAGAAGATGAAGCTAAAAAACAGGGGCTGCAAAGCCTGATTGTGCCAGTTTAACCAAGATAAATTCCAAGTGAGGGATTGACAGATCTGCAAGAAGCAAGCCCTAGGCACAGAGGTCAGCCTCTGGCAGGCCATTGGACTAATGTCCCTCACCCTGAGAAGGCTTCTCTCTAATACTGGGGTCTCTGGCTTCACCAGGGGAGTGTGCTCCATCCCCGTTGTCTATCACCCAGATTACCGGATGTCAGAGTGAGCACCACACAGGTGATGAGGTCCTGACAAAAACTTACCCTGTAGGCCTCACCCTCCATCTGCAGATTCATCTCTGTAGAACACCACCCTCACTCACATATATGAATCTCTTACCTAAAACCCTGAGAGGCTCCCTCAGTCTGGTTCTCAGGATCCTCCATACTTACAAGTCAGGGAATCTTTCTGGCCTTTTCCAGCTAGTCTACCATCAACTTCAGTCAAACTGGCTCCTAGGTCCTTTGCTCCAGCACATTGTGGCCCCCTCTCTCCTCCCCAGGTCCTGATTTCTACCCCTCTTCAAAGCTCAGCTAAAGTTTCAGCCTCTCAGTGGAGTATTGGGGGCTCTAGCCTCCTTGCTACTCCCTCTGAACTCCTGTCTGGATGGCTTACAGGGACCTGAACACACGGTCCCAGCTCTCCTTGAAGAGATAAACTATGGTGTCTGCCCTCTCACCCCTGCAAGGCTGAGGGGTGCAGAGGCCAGGGTCAGGTCTGATTCTTCCCTGCCATGCACAGTGCAGAGCTGCAAAATAAAGGGGCTGGGATGGGGGCTGCTCTACCCGAAGAGGGTTGTTGAAGGTCTGTGAGGCCCTCTCACTGAAGTTGAATTTGTTAGTGAGCTTTCGTTCCTTGGGCTGCTTAGGAGTCATCAGTTCTTCTTCCATCACATTTTCAGCTACCTAGAAATAAAGACCCAGAGGACCAGGACTCAGCTGTGAGAAGGAGGTGGCAGGGAATTGGGAGTTGGGGGGAGTCCTGTGCTGGGATAGGATGCAGGTAAGAGAGAATGATGCTGCTGGATGCATTGGCACCTGCAGTCTCTAACTTCTCACTTCAGCATCCCTCCTCCCACCCCTGAGTCATCCCTGAAGTCTCCATCCACAGCTCATGCTGAAAGGGGAGGATGGAGTGTAATATTATACTGTACCCCAGTTACAGGCACATCGGTTTGACTCTCAGCTTCAGTTTCTGCTTCTTTGGGCTCTTCGTCTTCTTCAAAGTTTTCTGTATCTGAAAGCATCACCTTGACAGACTCCTGAGAACCTTGGTAGGATATTGTCAATGAGCCCAAAGTGCAGGACTGCTCCCCCAATCTCTGGCAAGGAGGGCCTTCTTAGGTCCTGCCTTTCAGACCCTGCCTGTCCCCCAGGTTCTCGTTGGCCTGAGTATTCATGGATTAGCTCCCAGACCTATTCAGGCAGCCAGCTATTGTAAAGGCTCTACAAAGTGGCCTACGGATCTACTCCATAGAGTGACCAGAGAAAGGGGATGAGGCTCAGGGAAGCAGCCTCAGGCTGGCCCAGAGGTCTACCTGCCACTAACTCATCGCGGTAGTGCTGTCGCCGTCCTTCATCCGAGTCTTTGGGGACCAGGTTCCCAACCTGGCTGAAGTGAACTGCTAGTTGGTCCACAAAGCCAATAAGCTTATATGTGCCTTCCTAAGAAGAGAGGGAACTGAGTCAGAACAGGAGTCCCCAAAAGGGTTGGAGTCAAAATGTAGTCTGCCTTCATTCTCTGAGGCCAAAGACAGTCCATCTTGTTACAGTAAATATAACTCACCGAATTCTCAGTTAACTGGAAGTTTTTACTGCATTTCAGTTTTAAAAAGAGGAAGCAAATGAAATCAAATATTTTTTAAAGTTTCTGTCAATGATTTGTTTTAGAATACCTTCCTTTTCTAACTTCAAAGAGCTCCAGATTTACGTATCACCAGCTCGGGTGCCTTGTCTCCTACAACCATGCCAAGGAATCCCAGTTCACCTGCCTCACCACTGACCCTGGTCAGATCAGACATAGTCATCAAACACATGTGGCATGACCCTCTCTCCACTGTACTTAGTGGGTTCCAGGGCTGGATAGATCCTCAGAGACAGTCAAATTCCCAATCCCCCTGTTCCATACAAGAGGATCACAGAGATTCAGAGAAGGTTTGGGTTTGGCACTTGTCCAGGTTGCACAGCAAATGAGAAGCAGAACTAGGCCTAAAGCCCAGGCAACTTTATTCATTTATCCTTCAGCAAATAAGTTTTGAACAGCCAATATGTGCCAAGTATTTTCTAGAGGCCGGGAATACAAAGCTGAGCAAAAGCAGACACAGTCTCTGCCTTTACAGACCCCACGGTCTGGTTCCTCTGGACTGCCTCCTCATTGATCAGCCTCCTAGCAACCAATAAAATTAACTTTGAGAAACAGGGCTTCTTCTTCTTTTAAAACAGTTCTGTCCAACTCTTTCAAGTTATACAGAAAATAATTATATTTCTATGGCACACTGGGGTAAACTCAGCAGAGGAAACCAGCTCACGGGCTCCAGCTGTACCAGATTTACCTGCCTATGGAGGGCTAGAAGGATTACTATCACACAGGTTGGGAAGCTCTGCCTTAAAAACTCACCACCAAGCCCTTCCTCTCCCAGAAACTCAGATGGATGGAGAGACGGGACAGTGAGGTGGTTAAGAGCATGGTCTTCGGAGCAGGTAGAATTGGGTTCAAATCCTTATTCTGTCCCTAATTATCTACATGACCTTGGGCTTAACAACCTAAGCCCTAATTTCTTCACCTACAAAATAAGGATAATTTGCACAATAGTTGTAAGTATTGAAAAATAATGGAAACAATCTGTTAACACAGTGCCTGACACATAGTAAGTCCTCAGTATTAATGCTCCACAAAAATAGTAACTATTATCCTGATGAATTTTCCATATAGGTGTCATTTGAGATTTCACCTTCATCCTGTCCCCAGTTGACTGCAACCTTCTTCAGTTTAGGAAAGAAATTCAGACTCCATTGCTTCTGTGAAAGGAGGGGAGGCATGCCTAGATCAGAACCATATGCCTCCCCACTCCAGCACATCAAAGGAAAGCAGCAGCTCTGAAGACTGTTGGATTTCTCAGGGCCAAAAAGATGGAGACTAGCTCTGTTGGAGAATGCCAGGTAGGCCTGGGAGACTGTTGGAAAATTGGGTAAGGTAAGCCTTCCTGGGAGCTTAGGGCTACCCATCTGGTAGTTGACTCAAGGGAGAGTCAAGAGGAGTACATTGAAACCGACAAGGCAGCACCAATCCTCTGACTATAGCATGCCTTCCATGGCCAGCACACTGAGTCCTGGAGAGACCCTCTTTCAGATGTCCAGAAGAGGGGGACAGGAGCCCGTAGAGTGCACCATGCTCCGGCATAACATCAGGGAGGGTGAGGCAGGTTCCCTTTGACCTTTACAGGTTGCCCAAGGGAGGCCATTAGCATAACTCATGAGCAGCACCTTTTGAGAAATACATCTGGATTTGTTACAACCTCTTTGTGGAGAGGTTGACTACACAATCTTAAATAAGAAGCAGTGTGTTTAAGAAATTTTTCACAAAAATAGGTACACAAATGTTCATAGCAGCATTATTTACAATAGCCAAAAAACAGAAACAATCCAAATGTCCACCAACTGACGAATGGATAAATAAAACATGGTATGTTCCTAAAATGGAATATTATCTGGCAATAAAAAATGAAGTACTGACACAAGCTACAACATGGATGAACTGAAAACATGCTAAGTGAAAGAAGCCAGTCACAAAAGACCACATCTTATATGATTCCATTTATATGAAATTTCCAGAACAGGCAAATCTATAGAGACAGAAAATAGTTTAGTGGTTGCCTAGAACTAAAAGGGATGGAGAAGTGGGGAGTGACAGTTAAGAGGCGTGGGATTTCTTTTGGGGAAAGTGAAAATGTTCTAAAATTGATTGTGGCAATAGTTGCACAATCTGTGAATATACTAAAAGCCACCGAATTGTATACTTTAAATGGGTGAATTGTATGGCATGTAAAGTATCTCAATAAAACTGTTTTTTTAAGAAGAAAACAAAAAAAGAAACTTGTTGTCTCCAGGGAAGAGGACAGACCAGGGAGGGAGGTTTGATTTTCACTGATTTTCTTTTCTTAATCTTTTGCAATTTTGTACCATGAGTTTCTATTATACATTCAAAATTTAATACATATTTATTTTTTAAAAAATTTTAAGCAGCAGTGTAATGTTGCTTTGGAGTCAGACAAACTATTCCAAATCTTGCTTTGAATCTTGGCTGTGTGACTTGTTTTATCTAATTTAACCCCAGTTTCCAAAAAATGAAGATAGTAATAGTTCCCGTATCAAGGAAATGTGAGGATTATATGTGATATCCTATGTAAAAGATCTAATATAGGATCTGAGACTGGCGCACAGTAAGCATAGAAAAAATGGGTCTCAAAATAATGAAATGAAAAGCATATGCATCACTTCCACTTTAGCTCAGAATGTACCTTGAAATTCTCCTCAGTCCATTCCCCCAGGAGCTGACCTTGCTATGGCTAAAAACAGTGTTGTCCTCCATAAAGACATGCCATATACATGTCTATCAAGTAAGTGAGAACTTGCCCCACACTGTGTGTATTAAAGGAAGGCCCTGACAGGGTCACCTGCCTGCTTGGCTGTGAAGTCGGGAGATGCTGGGACCCAGAGCCTGCTGGGACTTTCTCTAAGGCAGGAATGCTGGGTAGGGGTGGGGGAGGCCAGCTCCTTACTGTCCAGAAGGGAGTTTGTACTCCACCCAGGTGTCTGGCTGGAAGAAAACCCAGCTTCTGAAGACCCAATAGTTTACATCAGTGAAAAACATGTTATACATATTGGAAAAGTATTTTTCTAACCAAATTATTTATTTCAAGATTCTTGAAGAGAGTGGCTCTGCAGGGCACTTGAGACACTGTAATTAGCAAGATTACAAGGGAGATTCATAAAGACATTTCAAAAATCTCTGGAAAATTCCATGTAAAATCTCAGGATTCTAGCCAATTCTAGTTTAGAAGTAATCTCTTCTAGAACAGCAGAGAGGCTTTTGNGAAAAAATGGGTCTCAAAATAATGAAATGAAAAGCATATGCATCACTTCCACTTTAGCTCAAAATGTACCTTGAAATTCTCCTCAGTCCATTCCCCCAGGAGCTGACCTTGCTATGGCTGAAAACAGTGTTGTCCTCCATAAAGACATGCCATATACATGTCTATCAAGTAAGTGAGATAATGGAAACAATCTGTTAACACAGTGCCTGACACATAGTAAGTCCTCAGTATTAATGCTCCACAAAAATAGTAACTATTATCCTGATGAATTTTCCATATAGGTGTCATTTGAGATTTCACCTTCATCCTGTCCCCAGTTGACTGCAACCTTCTTCAGTTTAGGAAAGAAATTCAGACTCCATTGCTTCTGTGAAAGGAGGGGAGGCATGCCTAGATCAGAACCATATGCCTCCCCACTCCAGCACATCAAAGGAAAGCAGCAGCTCTGAAGACTGTTGGATTTCTCAGGGCCAAAAAGATGGAGACTAGCTCTGTTGGAGAATGCCAGGTAGGCCTGGGAGACTGTTGGAAAATTGGGTAAGGTAAGCCTTCCTGGGAGCTTAGGGCTACCCATCTGGTAGTTGACTCAAGGGAGAGTCAAGAGGAGTACATTGAAACCGACAAGGCAGCACCAATCCTCTGACTATAGCATGCCTTCCATGGCCAGCACACTGAGTCCTGGAGAGACCCTCTTTCAGATGTCCAGAAGAGGGGGACAGGAGCCCGTAGAGTGCACCATGCTCCGGCATAACATCAGGGAGGGTGAGGCAGGTTCCCTTTGACCTTTACAGGTTGCCCAAGGGAGGCCATTAGCATAACTCATGAGCAGCACCTTTTGAGAAATACATCTGGATTTGTTACAACCTCTTTGTGGAGAGGTTGACTACACAATCTTAAATAAGAAGCAGTGTGTTTAAGAAATTTTTCACAAAAATAGGTACACAAATGTTCATAGCAGCATTATTTACAATAGCCAAAAAACAGAAACAATCCAAATGTCCACCAACTGACAATGTAGCAAGTCACTGCCATTCCAAGAAGAATATAGAGGCCCTTGCCCAGGAGAAGATGACTTACTTTGAAGCTGTACCTGACAATGTTCTGGGGTGCATGTGGGTTATTGGCTGTCAGGATCCGGGTGAACTCCTCTTTTAACTCCTGAAGGAGAGAAATACCAAGAGGATCATACATGAAGGGCCCCCATGCCTTCTGAGGTTGGAAGGAGCCCCTCCCCAATCCCCCCAGCATATCAGTAGACATCTCACACCTGAGTTCTGTTCAGGCTCCTAATCAGTTCTATGGAAGAACACATCTCTGAAGCTGGACAAGGTAGAAGCAGCAAGGATAGAAGGTTGCTTACTCACCGCATCAGTCAACTCCAGCTGGTCAGGGGGTCTAACTGTGGCTTTGGACTGGGTCCATTCATCTGTCCCTTCTCCCACTTCAGTCCCTGAATCTTCATCCTGAACCAAAACCTCACATGAGGGTTGGGAGTGTCTGATTTACTGGGATAAGCATGCAGTGCTGCAGGAAGCCTTTTCAATGACAAATCCTCTCAAAAGCCAAGCTCTGCCCCTTGTACGTAGAATACAAAATATATAACAGACCATTCATGGAAGAGTCCAAAGGAACTCCTCAAGCTAGAGTTCTCATTGCCTGGAAGATCATGGCCACCTCCACCCTGGGGGTCAGGGATAAGCTGGAACATTGTGGTGGATCTTTGGCCCCAGTAGGGGGACCAGAAGAACTGGCTCCTCCCTGCTGCTTTCCATAAAGCCCAGAAGCTAATGCCTAGGACCAGCTGCCCAAAGCAGGGCTTTACGCAAAGTGGCTTAGACATAAGAAAGGACATAAAGCTGTTCTTTAAACTACTTCAACTCTAATTTATATTTTGCCTTCCAATCTGCCATCTTAAGGTTCTCTTAAAGCAATACTCTCTTTTCTTGCTTACCTTAAGCCTCACAGTCCCATTAGGTCCTTGGAGCAAAAAAATCAAGGACTAGAAATTTTGTCTTTCTCTGATAGACAAGTTAAACACCTTGCCAAAATGGCTCATGACATATTTAAAAGAATGTTCAGCACCGGGCCGGCCCTAAAGCTGTTCTTTAAACTACTTCAACTCTAATTTATATTTTGCCTTCCAATCTGCCATCTTAAGGTTCTCTTAAAGCAATACTCTCTTTTCTTGCTTACCTTAAGCCTCACAGTCCCATTAGGTCCTTGGAGCAAAAAAATCAAGGACTAGAAATTTTGTCTTTCTCTGATAGACAAGTTAAACACCTTGCCAAAATGGCTCATGACATATTTAAAAGAATGTTCACCCTCACTAGCAATCAAAGACATGCAAAATAAAACAATGCATTTTTCACCAAGAAAATGGCAAACTATAAAATAAACAACCAAACAAAACTAACATCCAGCATTGTGGTTGTGAGAAGACGGGCATCCATAAATTAGCACAACCTTTCTAAAGAGAAATTTGAAAATATTTTTCCAAGCCTAATAACTGTTTATACTCTTTGACCAAAATTTCCATGTGCAGAAATTTATATTAAAGAAATAACCAAGAACATGTCCAGAGATTTAGATGTACAGATGTTTGTTAGAGGATTGGTCACAATAGTGAAAAAGAGGAAACAACTAAATGTCCAACAATGGGGCATGGTTGAACAAATTACGGTATGGTCCTAAGGGATATATGGTAAAATGTTATGCAGTAATTTCAAATGATGCTTTAAAAGTATATTTATTAGCAGGGGAAGATACTCTATTTTATGTAAAACAGGTTATAAAATAACATATATCAGGCCGGCCCAGTGGTGTACTGGAGAGTGCGCCGCTTGGGAGCGTGGCGGCGCTCCCGCCGAGGGTTCGGATCCCATGTGGAGACCGGTTCCCGCTCACTGGCTGAGCGCAGTGCGGGCGCAACACCAAGGGTTGCGATCCCGTTACCGGTCAGTAAAAAAGACAAAAAGGAAAAAAAAAACATATATGGTTTGATTACATTTAAAAGTAAATAATATAATTTTTATATATGCATAAAAATATCTGGGAGGATATAACATCAGATGTTGACTAAGAGGTTATCCCAGGGAGGTAGGTGTAAGTGTGATTTTAACATTTTTCTTTTATCTCGTTTGTATTTCCTAAAAATATATAGCTAATATTTTCAACATGAAAAATGCTATTAGCATCTTGCTGAGAGACTGCGGTGGTCTCAGCACTTACTCTCTTCCTGGTTCCTCTGCTTATGTTGATGCTCTGAAGGAAAAACAGAAACAGAAGGTAAGTCACAGTGAATAGACATGGGAATATCATAAACAGAATTACAGGGAGGCTCCGTCCAGGGATCTTGCAAACAAAGGACGTGGAGCTTTCCCAAGTCTCAGAAACAGTGTCAGTGGTACTCTCCGTGGCAACATGTGCTTCTCAGCCCATCCAAAGAGGTCCTGTATCTGAGGCAACCCCATTTCAGCGTCAGTGGACTGACCTATGAAGAGCAACCAGGTAACTTAGCACTGGGCATTTTTCATTTTTAACTAGTTCAACAAACGTTTTAAAAGCATATTTTAAGTGCTCAGCTCTGTACTAGTCAATAAGGGGAGTTCAAAGGCATATTATATTCATAAACACTTATTTGGGATGAACATAAGCTCTTTTTGAGCAGGTACTTTGTTTGCTTTGTACACTGCTGCATCCCAGCATCTAGAACAATGCTCAGAACATAGTAGGTGTTATTGTATAAATGGGTGAATGCCATCGAAACCTATTAGTCATCATAACCCTGGGAGAACTGTTTTTCCTCTTTGGGCTTCAGTTTCCTCATCAGCAAAATGCATCGAATTAAATACGATGACCTTCCAGTTCTAACATGCTAAAATTTTATGTTCTCAACAGTGGCTCTCTCAATCCAATTTGATAAACAATTTGTGGAGGATTTATTTATGTGTCAGACACTAACCTAAGCAGCGGACAAAGACAGAGAAAGATGAGGTCCCTATCGCAGTTTGCTCAGGGTCCGTGGAGGAGAGATGAGTGTGATCAATGCTCCTTGCTCGCTCGCTCGCTCGCTCACTCAACATATGATCCTTCAAAAGCTGGCTCTGTGCCAGCAATGGAGATGTGTGTGCACGGGGAGCTGTAGGAGTGCACGGGGCACCTACCCAGCCTGGGGTGCACAGCAAAGGCTTCCCAGGGTGGCCGATTCTTAGCTGGGTGTCAAAGGACAAGTATGCATTGATTAGATGGAGAAAATATTTTTCAGAAGGAGAACAGCAAGTACAAATGCAAGAAAAGAACAATGACAGAGACAGTAAAATGTTCCACCAAACAAAAATTCCACAGTGTATATAAAGAAAAGTGTTTCAGATGATCAAACACGAGGGAGATGAGTGGGGGCTGGAGATGTGAGAGAGGAGCTCTCGGAAGAAGCAGGCCAGAACACTGAAGGAGGGGTCAAGGCAGCAGAGGAGCCAAAGAAAACACGCTGGTGGCAGCGTGGCACATTGGAAAGAGACCTCTGCTCCCAGCTCTGTCACTGGCCACTTATCTCATCTTGGGGAAGTCTCTAGGGCTTGATTTCCCAAATGCCAGGTGAGGGAGTTAGACTAGATGGGCTCTGTAGTGGATTGAATGTTCCCCCGAACTCACTGAAGCTTGAATTATGTCCCCCAAGTTTTATGTATTAAAAACTTGGCCCCCACTGTGACTATTGGGAGGGTGGGAAATCCTATGATGGTAATTGAAAGGTGGGGCCTTGGGGAGGTGATTAGATTGTAGAACCATGCCGTAGTGATTGGATTAATAATGGTGGTCAGGGGCGTGGTTCTGAGGATTTTAAAAAGA